GTACTATTACATTTCAAGGAATGAGACTCCAGGCCAAGGCAGACCGAGGCAGCACGGTAAACAATTAAGGCCTCTGGTTTCGAGTGACAAAAAAAAAAAAATTGGGTGAAAATATCAGAGGGTGAATCAGAGGAACATGCATGCTGACAAAACAGAAAAAGTTGCCCGATTACCTTGCTCAATAGAAGATGAAACCAAAAGGCGGTGTGGAGTGAAAAAAAGCGCGGAGAAGAAAATGGTCGCAACTGCAACCCAACCCACCACTTAAGCTGACAAACTTTTATATAGCTACGACCTTGCACACATACTCACACTGTCACACACATGCAGCTACTAGATTCTCTAAATAACTCTAGGGTTTAGTTTACCCACAATTCATATGCGCAATGATAACAGTAATGATGATAGTAATCATATATAGCTAGCATAGCTAGATGGAGTTGCAGTTGGCAAATAATTGATTCATGATAGTGGGCAAGGATTTATTGATCAGGGTGGGTTTGGTTGGGGAAGATAAGCAGAAGCAGCCAGCAGAGAGAGAGAGAGAGAGAGAGAGGGAAGAGGAATCCATGGCTGGCGTCAATGCTGATGGTGACCAAACTTACATGGGAGTAATTACTCAGAGAGAGTAAGAGAGAGATGGTAAGGGTTTCAGAGCATTTAAAGCTCCACCTCTCTCAGTCTTTTGCACATATATGACTCAGGTCAGGTCAGGTTCATCACAGGACTCAGAAATATTGTTGATGACAATGCCAAAATGAAATAAATGAAAAGCTGCAATATGAGATGAGAAACCACCCGAAGGCAAAGGGAAAGAAAGTCACCCACTCCAAACGCAACCCAGATTCTCATTTGTCATCTACCCTATCCTAATCCTGCTGTCTTCTTTGTCCAGCACCATTCTGTATTTCTTTCCCTAATAACGTTATTATGTACATTCTGTGCATATTTCACACATTGATACATACTGCCAAAGAGACTACTACTACTACAATACAAAAGAGAAGTGGAAGGGCAAACGAGCGAGTCTAAAGAGCCAAATATACGGCTTTTCTTTTCTTCTTCTTCATCACATGCATGGTAGCAAAGGAATGAGGAGATATTTCTTCATGTGAATAAGCAGTAGCAGGCAAGTTGCATCCCGAACACCGAATAATTTTATTCCAAGCTATACTCACAAGAAACAAGAATGTAAGGCCCAATGCAAGGAAAAGTGGAAAACACAAAGCCCGCGACAAAAATAAGTAAAATAACAAACGCCCACTCCACTCAGAAACGTCAATGTTGTTTCTCCTTCGAATTCACACTTCACTATCCACTCCCAGACTCTGTGTAATTTGTTTATCGGCCTCCATTATCATTTTACATCCAAATTAGTTACACGTACGGCAGTCATTATTTTGTCGGTAATCATTGTTTACAGTATATAATCAAACAGATAGACAATTGGGTGCAACAGATGACTGATTGTCGGCTCCATTGGAAAAATGTGAAGTGGGGGGAGCAAGCAGATCCGAGTCTCTCTCGTCCTCTTGCTGCTGCTTCTTCCTTTCGTGATGATAGATAGACAGATGAGACATGAGTGAGTTTATGTGAATAAGACCATCCACAATGTGGGAGGGTGGGAAAGGTGGGAAAAGAGGGAAAATGGGGAAAATGAGAGGGTTTGGTCACAATGTTGGTGTGGGAAAAAGGGGTAATTGGTTGAACACTTTTTTTGTAAAATCAATTTATAGTTGATTTCAACACTTTATTTTTATATAATGATCATTATTTTTACATAGTTAGTAATAATTAATGAATACGAACATTTTGATATAATTTTTTTTCTAATTTGGACATAATTTTTTTCATCACTAATTAACGTCATTAATGACGAAATCGCAATAATTTATACAAGAAAGTTGTTACATTGATAGTTGAACATAAACATAATTAAGAAGAAATAAAAGCAAACAAATAAACACTAAACCCTAAAAACAAACACTAAACCATTAAAATAATAACAAAAAAATAAAATAAAAACAAACTGAAGTGGGCCCCACCCCTTCCCCTTTCCCCCCACCATTTGTCTCATCTGGTGGGTTTTCCCACCCACTAAACCCACAAAACCCATTTAATCCCCTATTCCCCCCCACATTGTGGTCACATTTCCCCTTTTTCCCACAAAACCAACCCACACTGTGGGTGGTCTAACACGTTAGCTTCAGTGAGAACAATATATAGTGGGCTGGTTAGAATCAAGCTATCAAATCCCACCCCTGCAGTTTAGGGAGAGAAAGCAAAGCAAAGCAAAATAGCTCTGTTTTACACTATACTATACTCTCCCTGTGATAATAGTAAATAAAAATTACGACCCTCCTGATAAAATTAACAAAACAAATGAAATTTGGAGCTAGTCAGTCAGCCAGCCAGTCAGGTGAGTAGAGAGTCAGACAAGTAGGGAAATCGAGCTTATTAGCATAGGGCATAGGCATAATGAGCATTCACTTTCCCCACATTTACCAAACAACGAGGTAATTAAAAAAGGGGGCATAAGACATTGTTATTATGAGGAGTTGACTAAAGTCAAAGCGCAGGGTTCCAGAAAGCTACACTATATATTAACAACACGGAAATCAAAGAAGAAAAATGTAGTGCAGACAGTAGAAAGGAGCTAGCTAGGCTACACACACCACACCAGCAGCAGTACTAGCACAACCAAAAAGGGAACAGCTAGCTAGCTAGCTACCATTAGACCCGTAGCCATTACTCTCCTCCACATCACTGATTACAAACACAAACACAAAGTTGCAGAAGCATATTTAATTTAAGACACACACAGTAACAGAATTTGGGTAATGCTTCCCGGATGGTAAACTCACAGATGGCTCTGTCGCGTAGATTAGTCACAAGTTAGAGGTAGAACAACACATAATAAGCCTATTCTAATCACTACTGAATCCGTAATTTAAGTTGGTGAAATAAAAGTCAAACTGAAACCAAATGTGGAACATTGGAAGACGAGCTGTAAAGTTAGGAGAGAAAATAGGAAGGAGAGGGGGAACCAGAAAGTAATGATGAACATCTTTCTCTAGTCTGTTAGGAGAGGAGAGTCAAACAACTCCATCATTACACCAATCTTCTCCTGCACCCTGCATGCCCTCAACGAAAATGCAAAGTCAATGTATAGTTTCCAGATCCACCAAGAAAAGGACAATGAAATAGGATTAACAAAAATAAATTAGCAGTGGAAGTTGGCAGTGAAGCAAATTAACACAATTGGGGAGGAATGAAGCCTGGTCCAACGTCACTAATTACTTCACGGCCTCTTCGTCGACCAAATTCAAAAGGTCTCTTTAACAGCCTCCACCACTGGACTCATTTTTTACTTTACCAAACCAGCACGAAAGCAGGACAGAAGATAGTCAGGAAGAAAAGAGAAGAAGAAGAAGAAGAAAATAAATGAGTTATAGGAAGAAGGGGTGGGACGGGGACCGGGTGAGGGTTTTCGTAGTCACGTCTTCATATGGAAGTCGGCCCGCCAGAGTCTCCTCTACTTTTCTGTCTTTTTGCTTTCCTTACCTGTTCCTTTTTCCCACTTTTGTGATTAGTGGTTTCCCCTTTTGCATCCTCCATTACTCTTTCCTTTCATTTTGACAGTATCTATCCTGTTCTAATGGCTAGATTTATCTCTAACACAAAAGGGAGTCACCAACCAGACTACCAGAGCATAACAAGGAATAATTAAGTTGTGCCGGAAATGAGACAAGTTGAAAACTGCAGCTTTCCTTTTGAACGAATGGCTTCTTTAGATTGTTTTTTCTTCATCTTTTTCTATTTGCAATCACTACAAGAAACTGCACTTTCTGCGACGAATTCTATCGCGACGACAAGAAATTCGTCGCAGAAAGTGCACAATCTGCAACGAATTTCACTTTTTCGTCGCAGAATGTGTGAAGTGTTTTTGCAACGATTATTTTCCGTCGCAGAATATATGGAGACTTTCTGCGACGATTGTCTGTCGTCGCAGAGTGTATGGAGACTATCTGCAACGATTTTCTATCGTCGCAAAAATGATGGAGACTTTCAGCGACGATTGTGTGTCGTTGCAGAATGTTCAAGACTTTCTGCGACGAAAGGCAATCGTCGCAGAAGTGATGGAGACTTTCTGCAACGACACACAATCATCGCAGAAAGTCTTTAACATTCTGCGACGACACACAATCGTCGCTGAAAGTCTCCATCAATTCTGCGACGACGGACAATCGTCGCAGAAAGTCTCCATCAATTCTGCGACGATGGCCTTTCATCGCAAAATGTCTAAGGACTTCTGCAATGATTTCTGTCGTCGCAGAATGTTTGTAGACTTTGTGTGATGTTTTTCAATTGTCGTATTATGTTTCAAGAAATTTTATATAATTGGAACCATAGTTAGTAAATACTCCGTTTAATACACTTATATGTATCCATACGGATTTTATTCGTTTGAAACTTTCATATTCGTATTATTGTCAAGGCATTTCTTTTCCCCCTGTTCATTTGATGGCTCCCGCACTAAAAAAATACAAAACTCGTATAACACGTTTAATATCCGTATTTAATGAATTAAATTGCTAACTTAACTAATATTTATATATTTATTTATTGACGTACTATTGAACGTAACATTAATCTAGAAACGAAGCAAAATACAAGCTAATGGAACTTAATTATTCAAACATAAGCTTCGTTCATTTCTTTGGAACTTAATTATTCCAACTTAATTGTTACAAATCTTTAAGCGATAAGAACAATAGAATATTATAGAATAACAAATATTCGGCTCTAGCACGATTGGTTTAAATGTTGTCAGTGGAAGTTTCTGGGAGCTAGAGGTCAGCTGTTCGAAACTTCAACCAGACATTAATTTTTTGTAAAGGGAAAGACATAATTGCATTGGAGGGGTATTTTAGTAATCAATAATTAGGGGTTCGTATATATAAGAAGGGCGGAGATGCAGATCAAAACCCTAGCCGCGCCGCCCTTAACTCTCTTTTTCCTCTCTCTTATTCCTCTCATCTTCTCACCCACATCGACAACACGAATCGGCTCGGCAGCGGTGAATGAAAGATCGACGGCGGGGGAGAAGAAAAGGGATCGCCAATAGCTTCGATTTCAATGGCGGTGGTGGAAGATCGACCAGCGGCGTGGGTGTTGGCCTCTAACAGCGGCGAATCGGCTCCTCTCGATCGGAAAAGCAGCGATCCAGGTAAGATTTGACCTGTACGGGTGCTTTTCTTGAGGGTTTCTGGTTCAAGAGTGGGATTGTGACATTTTTCTTTGTCAGATTTGTCTTCGAACGAGGGAATAAGAAGACGGCGGTGAAGGAAGCTGGACTGGTTCCAGATCTGCTCCAGCCGCGATGAAGGAAGTTCGATGGGTCGCCGATGGTCTCTGCCCGCGCGAATCGGCTATTGCCGGGTGATGACGAAGAGGACCTACTCTTCAGACGAGAAAAATGAAAGAATGATACCAGATCTGTTCTTCTCTAATCTTGTTTTTCCAAAATCTATCCTTAGATTGTTATTGTTTTTACAAATATGACTTTGTTTCTAATTTTTCAGGTTTGGTATTTTGACTTGCAAATCTGAATTTTGAGCAAATCTGGAATATTGGCGTTGATTAGGTGCATCTTTGATGGTTTACGAAATAAGGAACCAGAAAACAAACCCAAAAAAAATTGTGACCAATACTGAAATTAACCCAAAAATAAATTGGACCTATACTGAAATTAACCCTAAAATAAATTCTAAAATACGTCACCGTTGCTAATCTTTTGTAACCTTCTGCGACGATTTCTCCGTCGCAAATTAATCTTTCTGCAACGGAGTTTTCGTCGCACAATACCCGAATTTTCTGCAACGATGAAAATGTCGTCGCAAAATGATGATTTTGCAACGAAAGTATCGTCGCTAATCGTTAACTTTCAGCGACGACTTCGGTTTTTTTTTGCGACGAACCCATTTTTTTCGTCGCAGAACTTTCTGCGACGCTGTATGGGCGACGAAGTGGTTTTCCTTTTTGCGACGGAAGAATTCGTCGCAAAAGGTTTCCGCGACGAATTTTATGCTTTTCTGCGACGAATTTCTCCGTCGCCAAAAGTGAAGTTTCTTGTAGTGAATATAGCGTTGATAACACAGATTTATGTTATCAGATTGTACAAACCTAATAAACTCATTGATAAACACATACAATGATAATGTTGCCAATTGCTTCTAGTAATTTATATCACGAGACATGCAATTCGACGGGGCTAACATGAAATCTACAAGATAGTAAATTCGCATACCAACCAAACCAACTTATCAAATTATCTGTCTACTAAATTGTGAGGAATTATTGTGGGTATAAGGTTTACACTCTGACGAGATAATTACTGGCTCAATAATTGACTGTCTATCTTCCGCATTGCCTTAAGGCTACAACTCAATTTACTGAAAAAATATACTTGTTTTTCTATTGCTTAATTAAGTTCAAATCTTAGCTGTGGCAGGAGGGTAGTAGCAGATGTTAACTAACTGGAGTTGATTGAGCAGCGTGGGCATCTTTCTTAAGTCATTTCGTAGTCTTCTTGTGACTTTGTCATGAGAAAGAGAAAATTCTCTAGTTTTAACAAAACGATGTAGGAAAACAATAACATATTTTCAAACTTGAGAAAGAGACACACTCCACCACAATTTCAATTGCTGGATGCGGTTGTGATGTTTCTCGCTCCTTCATTCACGCTCAAAATTCTAACCCATCCCTTGTATTGATAGGTTAATCCACTCCGTCCAACTTCTCTACAGTCTACACTACACAAAATGAAATCATAGCATTACACGTACACTTATAACAAGAAGTATCATATATGTTCAAATATACAGTTTTTATCGACGGGCACGAAAGTATAGACTTGGTGAACGAAAAGTCGGATAACTTTCTCCCACATGCATACTAGGGAGAGATGGCATTCGCATACACGCATAAGCATTCACTTTCCCTCACATAAATCCAATCCATGCAAACAGCAACCAAAAGGGACGACATTATTATGATGAGTTGACTCAAGTGCACGGAAACCACAAAAAAAGGGGATTCAATGGAAATAAAGGTGCAACTAAAAAGGAGAACCACAACCACAAAGGTAAAAACACCATTCATTCATTCATCCGGACAAAAAACAAGAAAATTAAAGCTAGGAAACGAAAGGAAAGTATACACAATACACACACTTGCACCGTCTAACCTCCACCCACCCACCCACCATGTAGAATTTATGAATGATGCCAAATGGTCGGACCACAGCCACAGATCTGTGAAACTAATCAAAACAAAGAAGCCTGTTCGATCTATTCCCTCATGTAAATATCAACTCTGAAACCCTAATAAGATTATATGTTGATATCACAAACACACGCACAGATTGACAGCCTGACAAAAGAACAGGAACAAACAAAAGAAAAACCACGGTGGTTGAGTAATGATGAAGAAGATCTTTCTAGCTACTTCCCTTTTCAGCAGGCCTCTGCGGTCAAAACCCTTCATCATGACGCTAATCTTCTCCTGCGCCCTCGGCTTCCAATCCAAAAAGGTTGGATCTCGAAACCACAGACGAAAAACAAACCGATCGAGATATATATTTCGGATCCATTAGAATTAAACGACAAACAGATGATGAAATTAGACACACTTACTCAACTGGGTATCCCAGATCTACCTGTACAAAGGAGGCACGCGCAAAAAGAAGGAACCAAGAGTTTGGGTGGTGGAGCAAATTAACAATTGGGGGGAATGAAGCCTGGTCCGACGTCACTATTTCAATTCGGCAACGCACAGATTTTAACCGATCGATCCAGACCAAAAGGAACCACGAGATCGAGGCAAAATAGTGGCCTCGAGCCAGACAACATTCCCCTCAAAAGATTTTTCACTGCTTCCATCCCCTTTCCCTTAACCAGAGAAAGATGTGAAAAAGAGAAGAAACGCAGAAAAAGTGAGAGATAGAGCTGGGAAAGGAGGGAGAGATGAGGAAGAGAGAAGATGAGGGTATGAAAGAAAGAAAGAAAGAAAGGGAGCGGACATAAAAAGGCTAGGAGAAGGAGAGGAGCAGCGTTGGATGGATGGAGGAGATGCAAAAGGACAAAACCTAATACTATTACTCCCTCACTCGCCCCTTCCCCGAAATTATTATACCATCATTTTTTTTTTATCGAATAAGTAAAAGGAAAAATTGGGGAAAAGGTAAGAAAACCTTTTGGAAAAAACCCCTGTCTCCAGGCTCCATCCCCATATGTTATTATCATCATTACCTAATCACACCTTCATATTGAATGTAGGGCTGTTAATCGGTCTCCGGTTTTCCGGTTAACCCGTCAACCGAACCGAAATCGTCGGTTTGATGGCCAACCGAAAACCGAGAATGGGCTGCGGTTAGCGGTTGCGGTTGCCTGTTTCCAGCTTGGTTCAGAGTGTAGCGGTTAGCGGTTAAAAACCGCAACCGAACAGACTAACCGCCAAAACCGACCCAATCAGTCAATTCGGCGTCGTTTCTCTTTGGGCGACCTCTTCTCTTCTCGGCCACCCAGTGCTCCGCCTCCCCTGACCTAATTCTAAATCCCAAATCGAAGACGAAGGAGGCGAGGCGATATCAGAAAGAATCTCAGCCGCCTCTCCTCCGCCTCCCCATTTCTGAACGGCTGAACCCTAGCCTCGCCGTCGAGCGCCATCCTCCCGCTCCCGGCCTTCTTCGCGTCGCCATCCTCCCGCTGACCAACGCTGCTCCGCCTTCTTCCCCCATCTATTCCGGCGGCGGTGGAGATGAGAGTGGAGAAAAGCCCGGGGCTTTGCCAGCAGGACAATCAAATCCTCTATGGCGTCAAGATCAATTAGCCGAGCACCATGCATGTCCTCCGCCGATGGACCCCTACCGAAGTTGTCGCCTCTGCCGATAAGAAAGCGATGACGTCAAGATCCAGCCACTTTTGGTTTCGCTCCAAGGCAAAGGAGAGAAGGTAGACCAGAGAAAATCGATGGAAGGATTCAGAGCGGAGGAAGAAGTCGACGGGAATTGATGATTTTCTTGAAATTTTGGTGAGGGTAGAGGGTGGCAGAGAGAGCTTGCGATAGGAATGGAGAGATTAGAGAGAGGGGTTTTCTTTTGGAGAGAGGATAGGGTAACAGAGAATGAGATGGGGAGAAGGATCGAGAATGCTAGAGGTAGGGCTGTTAATTTCTATTTTTGTTTTATATTTTTTTGGAATTTTTATTTTTCTTTTCAATTAATTTCCGGTTGATAGTCAACCGACCAACCGAACCGACACCGACGGTTAGCGGTTTCGGCTAACCGATTGGACAATCGGTTGCGGTTGCGGTTGGCTGTTTTGACCTCTAATAGGTGTCGGCTAACCGACCCGTCGGTTCGGTTTAACCGCAACCGAACCGATTATCACCCCTAATTGAATGCATGCCATGCCACTCCTAACTAACCCACTACTTCTGTTCTGTGTCAGCAGGCATTTAGCTACTCCAGCCCCTGGTTTACTGCTCCCAAAAATCTATTTTGGTGTTTTCGAGAACTATATTTAATATAATAAACTTATGTTAAATACCCAGCAAATATTCCAGGTGAAGTTCCTTGCTTTGCTTCTAATTGGTTATTTGGTTATATATATGCATGTTTGTCTTCTTCAGTAAATTTTGTTAAATGGTCTTTGCAGGGTTTATTTCTATGATAGCGAGGTGGAAGTTCCTAATATAATTGGAAAACAGTGATTCATGGTCGGAAATTAATCCTCCAGACTCAGAATGATTTTATCTATTTATCATGGTTTCTACGTCCTTACTCCTCGTCAATCCAACTTAAAATAATTCAATGATTGTGTCTCTGATCAGATTTGTCGTGGTCGATGAGTAGCCAATTATTATAATGTATTATGACTAGAGATATAACATATCATGACTCGGCCAATTTGAGCTAGTATACATGTTCTAAAAATTGTTCAATGAGTGCCATAGGAAATTAAATGGCCAACTAGCTTGTGTTTTTATCAAGTGAGTTTAGAAAATTACTTTAATCTGCAATAATATTTATTGTCCCAGATTATATATGCTAGTGATACATTCCGCTAAAAGAAAACGTAACATGCACCATATTTTAATCCAGTTTATCTAAATAACTAGTAACGAAGTTACCATACGCGAACATATGACTATTATGGGCAATCTATATTGGGAATAAGTTCGAAATGAGTTGAACCCTTATACTTCAAACCCTTTACAAAGTCTCCAAAGCCTTGTATGCAATAGAATGTGTTTCACGTACAATAAACATTTATGATGAGATGCATGAAATGTAATGTAACATTTTTTTTGTTATTATATTCATGGAACATGAATTGTTGTTTGTTTCCAGACGAAGTCGATGTCTCTCGATGTGGTTCAATTAGCGATCACGACCAATTAGGTAACCGTAAGAATGTAAAAATATTAAGAGCACATTTAC